ACTTTGTTATCAATCTATTCAGGGAATCAACTTCTTCCTGGTTTAGGCTTGGGAGGGTGCAAGTGTCTAGGAATTTATCCATTTCTTCCAGATTTACTGATTTATGTGCATAGAGTTGATTGTAGTAATCTCTGATAGTAGTTTGTGTTTCTGTGTAATTGGTAGTGATATCCCCTTTATTGTATTGTATTGTATCTATTTGATTCTTCTCTCTTTTCTTTTTTTTCAGTCTGCCTAGTGGTTCATCAATTTTGTTGATCTTTCCAAAAAACCAGCTCCTGGATTTATTGATTTTTCAGGAAGGGTTTTTTGTGTCTCTATCTCCTTCAGTTCTGCTCTGATCTTAGCTATGTCTTGTCTTCTGCTAGCTTTTGAGGTTTTTGTTTTGTTTTGTTTTGTTTTTTTATCTTGTTCCTCTAGCTCTTTCAATTTTGAAGATAGGATGTCAATTTTAGATATTTCCTTGCTTCTTATGTGGGCATATTATTGTAAATTTCCCTCTAGACATTGCTTTAAATTTGTCCCAGAGATTCTGGTATATTGTGTCTTTATTCTCATTGGTTTTGAAGAACATCTTTATTTCTGCCTTCATTTCATTGTTTATCCAGTCATCATTCAGGTGCAAGTTGTTCAGTTTCCATGTAGTTGTGTGGTTTTGAGTGAGTTTCTTAATCCTGAGTTCTAATTTGATTGCAGTGTGGTCTGAGAGACTGTTTGTTATGATTTCCATTCTTTTGCATTTGCTGAGGCGTGATTTACTTCCAATTATGTGGTCAATTTTACAGTAAGTGTGATGTGATGCTGAGAAGTATGTATATTCTGTGGATTCAGGGTGGAGGGTTCTGTAGATGTTTATTAGGTCTGCTTGGTCCAGATCTGCATTCAAGTCCTGGATATTCTTGTTGATTTTTTGTCTAATTGATCTGTCTAATATTGACAGTGGAGTGTTAGTCTCCCACTATTATTGTGCAGGAGTCTAAGTCTCTTTGTAGGTCATTAAGAGCTTGCTTTATTTATCTGCGTGCTCCTATATTGGGTGCATATATGTGTAGGAAAGTTAGCTCTTCTTGTTGCATTGATCCTTTTACCATCATGTAATGCCCTTCTTTGTCTCTTTTGACCTTTGTTGGTTTAAAGTCTGTTTTATCAGAGACTAGGATTGCAACCCCTGCTTTTTTTTTTTTGCTGTTTGCTTAGTAGATCTTCTCCCATCCCTTTATTTTGAGTCTATATGTGTCTTTGCACGTGAGATGGGTCTCCTGGATACAGCACACCATTGGGTCTTGATTTTTTATCCAGTTTGCCAGTCTGTGTCTTTTGATTGGGGCATTTAGGCTGTTTACATTTAATGTTAATATTTTTATGTGTGAATTTGATCCTGCCTGCGTCAACTAACGGGTTGGTAGTTTTGCCTGTTAGTTGATGAGGTTTCTTCATTGCATAGTTGGTCTTTACCATTTGGTATGTTTTCGCAGTGGCTTGTACTGGTTGTTCCTTTCCATGTTTAGTGCTTCCTTCAGGAACTTGTAAAGCTGGTCTGATAGTGATGAAATCTCTCAGTAATTGCTTGTCTGTAAAGGATTTTATTTCTCCTTCGCTGATGAAACTTAGTTTGGTTGGATATGAAATTCTGGTTTGATGGTTCTTTTCTTTAAGGATGTTGAATATTGGCCCCATTCTCTTCTAGCATGTAGGGTTTCTGCCAAGAGATCAACTGTGAGTCTGATGGACTTCCCTTTGTTGGTAATCTGACCTTTCTCTCTGGCTGCCTTTAGCATTTATTCCTTCATTTCAACCCTGGTGAATCTGATGATTATCTGCCTTGGCATTGCTCTTCTTGTGTATCTTTGGAGTGTTCTTTGGATTTCTTGGTTTTGAATGTTGGCCTGCCTTGCTAGGTTGGGGAAGTTCTCCTGAATAATATCCTGAAGAGTGTTTTCCAGCTTTGATTCATTCTCCCCATCACATTCAGGTACACTGTTTAAGCATACATTAGGTCTTTTCACATAATCCCATATTTCTTGGAGGCTTTGTTCATTTCTTTTCACATTTTTTCTCTAATCTTGCCTTCTCATTTTATTTCATTGAGTTGATCTTCAATCTCTGATATCCTTTCTTCTGCTTGGTTGAATCGGCTATTGAAACTTTTGTATGCTTCATGAAGTTCTCATGCTGTATTTTTCAGCTCCATCATGTCATTTATGTTTTTCTCTAAGCTGTTTATTCTTTTAACCATTCGTCTAACCTTTTTTCAAGGTTTTTAGTTTCTTTGTATTGGGTTGTAACATGTTCCTTCAGCTCAGAGAAGTTTGTTATTACCCACCTTCTGAAGCCTACTTCTGTCAATTCGTCAAACTCATTCTCCATCCTGTTTTGTTCCCTTGCTGGTGAGGAGTTTTGATCCCTTGGAGGAGAACAGGCATTCTGGTCTTTGATGATTTCATCCTTTTTGTGCTGTTTTCTTCCCATTTTCATGGATTTATCCACCTTTGATCTTTGACATTGGTGATTTCAGATGAGGTGTCTGAGTGGACATCCTTTCTGTTGATGTTGAAGCTATTTCATTTTGTTTTTTTAGTTTCCTTCTAACAGTCAGCCCCTCTGCTGTGGGACTGCTGGAGGTCCACTCTGGGCCTTAGCTGCCTGGGAATCACCTGCAGGGGCTGTGGAGCAGCGAGGATTGTTGCCTGATCTTTCCTCTTGTAGCTTCATCCCAGAAGGGTACCCACCTGCTGTAGCCTGAGCTTTCCTGTATGTAGAGTTTTTCTGGTTATACAGGGGTCAGGGGGCTGCTTGAGGAGACGGTCTGTCTTGTTTGCCTGCTGAAGTGCCGCTAGGCTGTCTTGGATGCTGCTATGTAGGCTTCCTCTGGCTTTTGTTTACACAGGTGTGATTAAACCTGCCTTTGCAATGACAGATTTCCTTCCCCTGACAGAGCTCAATTGTCCTGGGTTGAGCTTGAACTGATGTGCTGGCTGCAAAACCCTCAAGTGAGAGGGCTTCAGTTTGCTGGGCTTTGTGGGGATGAGACCTGCCAAGCTGTATCACCTGTCTCCCTGCTTTCAACTCTTTCTCTTTCTGGGGGTGGGTAGCTCTGTCCCATGGGTGCTCTCGTTGCTAGTCAAATCTCCCATCCAGATCTGTGCTGACAACTCATGGTGCCAGCCAGAGCTGCCTCTCAGATCTGTGCTGATAACTCGTGGCACTTTCAGTGGGGATCTCCTGGTTTGTGGGTTGCAGAGGGCATGAGAGAAGCGCAGTATCTGAACGAGAGTGCTGGTGCGGGGAAGGGAAAATCCCCAATCCTCTGGTCAGTTGCACTTCCCAGGTGGGGCAGCACCCAGCCCAAGGCAAGCTCTTATCTAAATCATTTTTGGTCTCCTCCACAGTGAGTAACCTAAAATCTAGTCACAAGTAATTATATAAGGGAGAATGGACAGGCAAGGGAGAAAGCAAACTGGAGTGCTATATTACCTGATTAAAGAAACTAACATAAAAATATTTAATATGACTTTTCCAATGTTGTTGGTTTAAACAGTAACAATGGAGAGAGAATATGCATGCTTGGCTCCTCCATTGTATGTTTTTTAAAAATCACTCTTAATGACTCCTTATACTCTAGAATCTCCAAATCTGGTTTTGGTTAGCCTGAGCAAGCAAATTAAATGCTTCGTATGTCAGTGCTTGAATCAATACTATTTTAGGTGAAGATTCAGAAACTTCAAATTGGGTTGAGTCAGCTGTTTTCACTGGAAGGGACTTTTTACACCTAGGAATCTATTAATTTCACAGGGGAAGAATTGAGGCCCAGAGACCTAACTATCCCAAGGCCACACAGCTATTTAATTATCATGAGATACAGCATTGGTATCCAGGACTAATGATTCATCTTTCAGTGGTCCTTCTCCATTGGCAAACATGGCAGCAGCCATCTGCTTTGGATTTGCCTAGGCCTGTCTTTTCTTTTGTTAGTAATGCTAATTCTGGTACTAGCGCATCAGCTGTGGCGTAGATTGAACATGGACTAGAACTTTGTGCTGTTTCTTCAATAGCAAGGCTCTTGTCCCTTGACTGGGCAAAATTGTATTTTTGTTTGTTTGTTTTAGATTGAAAGTGGTTTATATTCCAAGGGATTGAGACCAGGTAAGAAATTATAAGACAGAAGGGGAGAAGTAATACTAGGTCCAAATCAAAGCACCAAAGAGAAATGTTACAAACTAGACCAAATGGATACTATTTTAGCTTTATGAGGAAAAGAAGATTATTAAGTCTACACGGTAACTGGCCAGACCTGCTTTAATTATGAATTTTGAATCACGTTCTATGCCAGCCCAACCTCTGATTAATGAACTAAATGGCACTAAAATTAATTTGCCTATATTGAATATGGCTTAATGAGATTTCTTTATATAAAAAGATATTACTGGCCTCCCTCTTCCAAGAATTTAAAGAATATCTTGAAGTCATATCATCAGTAGCCATATTCCATTTTTTGTTTATTAAAAAATTGCCCTGGTTTCTTTTTTATGTTCCTTCATTGATAATCTGTTGAACAATTCCTATGTAACAGCTACTCTTTAAAGATGCATACATCATCCTTTTTATCAAAAACATGACTGAATAACTGCATTCAAGCTGATGTCTGCAATTTACTGACAAACAACAGAAACAGTCACATCACTTCAATGCTGGTTTCTCTTCCTGTGTCTGCATGGGCGACACAAACAAGCCTGCATCTTTCCTCTATTTCCATCTCAACTTCTTTTCATGGTCTGCTGTATTTTCTCTGTATCCCTTGCTGCTTTTTGTTCCAGGCCCTTCTTTCTTAAGATAAAGTTTCTGAATCACTGCTATCAGCAGGGAGTCAGGCAGCATGCAGAATAGTCAGAGGCAGATCATTGGAAACTCATGGCTTTTTAATTTAAAGGTTGACTAGGTTACCCTGTAGCAAAGAGGTGTGTTTTTTTCATTTGTTTGTTTTGTGATTTTTCTTTTTGTAGGTTTACAAAAAGGAGGTGAGCCAGGTGGTTCCTGGAAAGAAAAGAACAAGGAAATTGCAGCAATCACAAGCCCTGGGCAGAGATAACTACAAAACCTCACCTTGAGAAGCAGATCTGAGCCACAGGAGTGAGGTTTTTTCCTTTCTTGGATAATTTGTCAAGCCTCTCCCTGCAGAGCTTGTACTGCAGCCACAAATGTCTGCAGATCAGCCTCCAGCCCTCAGTGAGCAAATGAGAACCTGGGTCATCACCCTTCCCATTTCTGCTCCACTTTCTGCTTCCCGGGAGTTTAGGCTGGGCTTACATTCTCCCTCAGCAAGGACTCAATCAGTCCTCTTCCTTATAAGTAGTGTTTGTGTGCAAAGCTGAAAAAGGATAGCTCTCTGTAGAGGCTGATGGGGCATTGCCATCAAGCCTGCCCTAGGCCCAGGATCTAGAGACTATATGGTGAAATGTTTGTGTGAATAAAGGGAAGAAGGAAGTCATTGAAGACAGGAAATAAAGTGATGGTGGGTAGGGAGTGGGGCTTTGGGAGGCAGGTATGGATGACAAAACCTACTGCATTAATTAGCATACTACTTGTTGCTACAACAGATAAATCCACACATTTCAGTTGCTTAATCCTAAGAAAACCTATTTCTTGCTCATATGAAGTCCGAACAAGTATTTCTAATTGGTAAGCAACTGTCTTCCTAAGCTGTAATTCAGAAACCTAGACTCCTTGAATTGTGTGCTCTATACCACCTTTAATGTGTGGCCTGTAAGTACCGCTCCATGAATCTAGAGGAGGGGCAAGAACCTGGAGGGTCAAGTGTGAGGACTTTTATGGTTTAAGACTAGAAGGGTCACACATCACATTTTCTCACATTTTTTTTTTTTGGCTAGAACCCAGTCACACGGCCTGCCTAATGGATAGAGAGGCTGGGAAATGTAGTCTAGCTGAGTGCCCAAGGAAAAAAAAAAAAAACCGGTTCGTGAGCAACGAGCTAGTTTAACATTGTGTATTTAATTTTGCACAAGGGAAGCCCTGAAGATAGTCCCAAAGTACAGATCTATAGGTTGGAGTTGTCATATTCCTGGAATTAAAGGAATTCTCAAAAGTTGAATACAATATAAAGAATCCTTGGATTCTATAGTTGACACTGATGTCTTTTGATTATCTTAGTGTTTATGCCAAGATATTTTGGCTTCAACTATTGGTCATCAAAATTTTGCTGCATCAAGAACCTGAACCTATTATAGTGCTTGTATTCTTTACTAAGAGGGCCAAACACCCTGTTTAATTATGAGCTACAGTGGACTTTTAAATATTTTCCCTTCAAGACAAATTACCAACAAATATCTTGGCAAAATTTTGATTTGTATTATGTCACCCTGCTTCCAGCAAGATACACGTTACCAATGTACAAATGAACATATGTCTTTTTAAAGTTATTTTAAAGATAAAATGATAAAAAGTTCTGATACCCTAGAAAAATTGATTTATCATCAGATTTAAAGATGTGCCTCATTATGTGCCAAGAACTGTGTTAACAGAGATATGTTTCTCTGTCAGTCAGTAAGTCTGCTTAGTCCAGGGAAGAACTCAAGAGTCTATTTCTAACTAGACATTTTTACTGAGTATAGAATTTTGGGTTGAAATGTCTTTTTTTTCAGCACTTGAAAAATGTGTCACTTCTGAGTGGTCTTCATGGTTACTGATGAGAAATCTGTCATTTTTTCACTTTTTTTTTTTCTCCTGTAAGTAAGGTGTTATTATTCTCTGGCTTCTTTCAGGATGTTTTTTTCATCTTTAGTTTTCAGAAGTTTAATTTTGATGTGTCTTAGTATGGATTTCTTTGGACGTATTCTTTTGAGAGTTTTCTCAGCTTGAATCTGTAGGTTAATGTCCCTTGCCAACTTTAAGAGGGTTTCAGCCATTATTTATTTGAGTAGGTTTTTTTAGCCCCCTCTTTCTTTACTTCTTCTAGGACTCTGATGACACAAATGTTAGCGCTCTTATCTTTAAATCTTTTATTTGTGCAATAGTCACACAGGTCTCTGAAGATGCGTTTACTTATTTTTTTACGCCTTCCCTTTGTTGTTCTGATTGAGTGATTTCTATTGTTCTATCCACTAGCTTGTTGATTCTTTCCTCTCTTTCCCCAATCCTGCTGTTGAACTCACTCTCTGAAGTTTTATCTTGGTTACTATATTTTCCATTTCTAAAATTTCTATTTGGTTATTCTTTATGTCTTCTAGAGATCTTTCTATTTGTCGTTACAAGTGAGTTTCCATTGAAACTGGGACATTTTCATAGTAAGTTATGAGACTCTCAATCTCATTTGAGCTGGCTTTCTTTGATACTGCTTTGGCAGATGGTGGGTAACTGGGGGAGAAAGGTGTCACCAAATGTGATCACAAGACCAGGTATTCCATTCAGTCTCCATTGACACCTGAGGCGGGAGCTCCTCATCACTACTAGACAATGGTAAGAGTTTCAGCCTCCCACATAGTTCCCACTGATGCCATGTTGGCATTGACTGCGCTATCAGTGAGCAGTGCTGAAGTTCCTGACTCTCCAATGAGCCTCCTCTGAGACCCCCCAGCAAGGATACCTCCCAGAAGGGAGGGATGAACCCTCATTACTGCTGGGTGGCAGTAGAATCCAAGCTGCTAAGTGTTCTAGCTCCCTACTAGGCCTTCTCTGCAAAACCTTAGTGGGAGTATTGAGAGAACTTGTTAATAGCCTTTTGAGGGTAAAGTCCAGGCTCCCATTTTGTTCTTGATGCATGAATAGAGGTAGGGAGGTACAAATATATACATATTTTTAACCTGTGGTGCTTGTCTGAAGTAGAACAATTACTGTCTGAAAGTTTTCTGTCTTCCTAGACTGTCTCTTTGAAGTAGGCTTTTTTTTTTTTTTTTTTTTTTTTTTTTTTTTTTTTTTTTTTTTCCTGGTTTGCAACTTTCGGCATTTCTGAGTTACCAGCTTTGGCACCAAGTCCAGGATATATGAGGCAAAAGGATAATCCAGGGAACTTACCAGTATGTCATTTTTCAAATCAAGGCCCCTAACCTGTCTACTTTCTTCTCTCCATCTTTCACAGTCTTAAGTTTTAATATATATAACATACAGGGGTTTTAGTTGTACTTAGTGGGGAAATAGGTAAATAATTGTTTACTGCATCTTCCCAGAAGTGCAAGTACAAATTTTATGCACTTTTAAAATGTGATCAGATTTATGTTAAAAGGACTAGTCTGGTTTCTCTTATGGAGAGTTGACCATGAAGTGGATGGGGGCCTGGGGTGAGGGGTAGGGAGCAGTGGAAGAAGGCTATCATGGGCTTTTGGTCTACGGATGATGGTGTCTCCTGTTAGGATGCTTATGAAGAAGGTGGTGAGTAGTAGTCACATTAAACATATACTATATTTCAAATATAGAGCCAGTATAGAAAAGCTGGTACAAACACAGTGAGAGACTGTAGGTCCAAGTTCCTACAATGCCTGGGTTTATGTGGAATACTTTGGAATATGTCTAATAAATTATATTTTTGACATGTGGCAGGATGGGGTTTTCCTTTCTCCCCCTTCTTCATCCAATCTCTCTCTAGAATAGTTTTAGTATGATAGAAAACAGAGATGAAAACCTTGTTTACAAAATGATGCAATAGCTATGCATTGAAAAGAAGGTCAACATTAGCAAGATAAATTTGACTTGTCTTGTAGATGCTTCTTTTCAAAACCTGGAGAGATTCAAGGTTCCCCTTTGATTGACAGGAGAGACAAAATCAAGGTTCCATCAGCTGCATTTCCAGTCTGGGTCTGGAGCATGATGAAGACTTGGTGGATCTCTTCCAAGATGTAGCGCCAGATTGTGGAGATAGGGGACAGAGAGACAGAAAAGAAGGGAGTAGGAGAAAAATCAAAAGAAAGATTAGTGATACACACTCTTTTGAAGTATGTTCGGGATAAGTGTCTGGAAGTGAAATAATATGAAAAGTTTTGTAACATTTTCTGAATTTTATGTAATACGTTATCTTCATCTAGTAAGAGTGTCCCTGTTCACTCTTCTGATATTGTAAGCAACTTGAAGAGACGTTCATAATTTGAATTGGTCTTCTATAATTTGCAGTCAAAGAGTTTTAAACTACAACAGTGCTTTGAAGTAACACCGAAAGTGTAATCCAAAGAAGGAAATAGAGTATGAATATAAAGACCAATACCTCCTAATAAAATACAATAATTGCTTCACAACTTTGGCTCTAAACTTTCGGGTGACAGAAACAAAAGGGTAAACATAATCTGTTATAGAGGTCTTATTTCCCATTAGGATACAACATACCTGGTCTATAAATGTTACCATAAAATTTAACTCTGAAGGATATTTCTTATGTATTTTCACGGAAGGTAGGCCAATTTATTGGAAGTCACTTTGTCAAGTGGCTAGTGTATATAGTCTTTTTATTGGGGGCGGGGGTGGATTTTTGCTCTTGTCAGCTGGGCTGAAGTGCAGGGGCAAGATCTCAACTCACTGCAACCTCTGCCTTCTGGGTTCAAGTGTTTCTCCTGCCTCAGCCTCCCGAGTAGCTGGGATTATAGGTGCCCACCACCACGCCCAGCTAATTTTTGTACTTTTAGTAGAAATGGGGGTTTTGCCATGTTGACCAGGCTAGTTTTGAACTCCTGACCTTAGGTTATCCACCAGCCTCGGCTTCCCATAGTGCTGGGATTACAGGCATGAGCCACCGTGCCCAGCCGAATATAGTCATAAATGCATTTTTTACCATGAGGTAGTCTTAAGAATTAGTAAAATGGTATAGCAATAAGTGTTCTGCAACATTTTCTGAGAACATTTTTAGAGAACATTTAAAATGTTAATGTTTCTGAGAACATTTTTAAGAATATATTCCAAGAATATATTCTTTAAAAAATTATTTGTAATTAACAAATAAAAATTGTATTTATGGTATACAATATGATGTTTTGAAATATGTGCACACTGTGTAATTGCTAATGAAGTTAATTAACACGTGTGTTAGAGCAGTCAGATATCCAGACATGAGCAGGGGAAAG